CATGTACTTGAGCAATTTATGCTGTCTATTTGAACCCAACTTTTCTCCACGTGGGCGCTTCCCCGGTAGCTCAGATGGTAAAAGGTCTGCCTACAATGCAGGAGACCCAGGTTCGATCCCTGGGTCAGGAAGATTCCCCTGGAGAAGGAAATGGCACCCCACTCCAGTACTCTTGCCTGGAAAATCCCATGGACTGAGGAGCCTGGTAGGCTACAGTCCATGGGGTCGCGAAGAGTCGGACACGACTGAGCGACTTCACTTCACTTCACTTCACTTCCTCCACTGCGAAGTGAGGGTGGAAATACCTTCCTCGAAGAGTTATAGTTGGGTCTTAGTGAGAAAATACACTTAAAAGCCCCAGCGCAGTGCTTGGCATTAGCAAGTGCTAGTTAAAGGCCAGCTGCTCTTTGTTATTTCAGCAGAGTCCCAATTTCACAAGCTCCAAGAAGGTCCTTACTGAGCTTCTTGGGACCGCCCATGGGAGTTAAATCCAGCGGCTTCTGGGAGGAGGGGGAGGGATGAGAAGGGTGACAGGAGAGAGCCTGCGGGGGCAGGGAGGCGTGGGGCAGCCAGCCTGGATGGTGTCCAGCTAGGCAGCGGCCCAGGTACCAGCCTGCTCCATCCCAGGCTTGCCCAGCCCTGGGGAGACCTGAGCCAAATGCTCCATCGGGCATGTCTCTGGCCAGCACCAGGAGAGAAGAGCCGGGGAAGGCCCTGGCTCAAGGCCCTTGAGGAGCAGTGTCAGAGCGGTAGCCCCCCGTGTTAGCATCCGGATCCCACCCTGTGAAGCTCCAGAAAGAGGCTTCCCTGCCGAGAAGTGGCGGGATCGAGGGCCAGAGTCCCTTCTTTTTCCACAAAGGGAGGTTGTCCAGCATTCCTCAGCGTGTGCAGACCTTTGGGCGGGGGTCTTCTAGGGTGAGATCCATGAAGCCACATCGGGGTCAGAGGTCATGAGTCAGTGGCAGCCAAGCCCTTGGTCGTCCGTCCCTTTGGGTGAGGAGAGGATGCTTTCATCCCAGAGCCCTGGACCCTGGCTTGCAGTCTGAGCTCCCGGTCACCCCGCAGCCTGTCCTAAAAGACAGTGCCCCCACGCTGCCCGGTCACACGTGCCCCCCAGGCAGAGCCACCTCCTCCACCCTGGTTTCCTTGAAGAGCTGGCGCCAGACCCAGGCCTGTTTCCAGAGCAGCCCTGGCCCCTTCCCCTCAGTATCCCCACCCCTCCCCCACCAGAAGGACCTGGTCTCCCTGTCTCCGCCCCCCCAACCCATCCCCCCTTGCTGAGGCCGATTCCCGGGCTGGGGGCGGGAGGTACCATTCTTATCTTATTTGCATAAACTCGAGCCCCGGCTGCTGGGCTGGGGGAGGGGCGGTGACCAGTCACCTCTGTCTGTTTGGCCACCCCGGCGGTCTTCCTGCTCCTCCAGCCCCACCTTCTGGGACCCGGAGCCACGAGCCTATGGGATGTTTTCCATAGGGCTCATCACCGTGGCGTCGGCCAGGGAGGGGCTGGCCCAGTGGGGCGTTGGCCCCCGGCCTCCCTCCCCGGGGAGGAGGGGAGGAGCAGGGAGTGGCGGCCCGCTCCCCAGAGACGGTCGCTGGGATTAGGGTATCGACTTTCCCCAGCCTCCCAGGTGGCTGCTGATGGTGCCTATTGAATTCCGTGCCCGACGCCTGCTCCCTGGGCCGCGGGGGTGGAGGTGACTGGGCGGCCACTCGGGGGTGGGGCTGGGCTCCCTGGGAGGGGCGGAGGAGGTGGTGGAGGGAGCTGCCGCCAGGCCTGTGCAGGGTTTGGGACCGCCTGAGACCTGGGGGGTGGGAGAAGCCGGCAGGAGAAGAGTCTGGAGGCAGTGCTCCTGGAGGGGTCGGGAGTGAGAAACTCGTCCAGCCCCGGCCGCCCCAGCCCATTTGCACAGCCCCTCAGCCACCACTGCCTGGCAGTCCCTCTTCTCACTTCTCTGCCAGTCTCCTCGCTGAGCAGATCCTCATGTTTTACTTCCAAGCTGCCATGGTCACTTGAAGACCCACCTGAGTCTCTGAACACTCCGTGGCCATATTCCCCTCGAAGTCACCCCACCTCCAGCACGGACCCCTCTGGAGCTGCAACCACGGCCCAAGGCCGCTTGTGAGCTCCTAGGGGCCCCATGCCAGGCCCAGGATGTCCTGGAGGGCCCAGGTATCCCCTCGCCCCAGCTCCAGGGCCCCAGGCCCAGAGCAACGGTGGCTAAGCTCTGGCCAGCGCCTGACATCTCCACATCTCAGTGCGGGGCCTCGGGGAGCTGCCCCAGGACTCCGGACAGCACCAGCCTCCACCAGGCTGGGCTGGTCTCCTTTGATTACTGACTCAGCAGCTGGCAGTGACAGTTCTGGAGGCAGCTGGAAGAGGGGTGGAGAGAGACACGGGAAGGGGAGCCCCCCCGCCCAGTCTTGGGGGGCTTGGGAAGGTAGGAGCTGGGTGGGGTTCTATACTAGTCTGAGCACCTCAGAAAATGCCTGGGGTTTCCTGGACCCCTGGGAGGGGATCTGCCACTTCTTGAGATCCTCATGGCCTGGTGCTGGCAGAGGGGCGTGAGGTGCAAAGGACAGGTCCCCAGGCAAGGGTCCCCAGGGTGCCAGGTGCTCCGGATCAGTGAGGGAAGCCACCAGGCCTGCCTGCTCCCAGCCGAACCGCCCTCCCCGGAAGGAAGCCTGTGGTTTCATCATCTCCCCGCCCCTCCCAGCAGAGGCTGCAGCCCGAGTTTGCAGCTCTTGCCCAAGTGGGCCTCCTCCCAGTCTAGGCTTTGAGTCCTGCCATGGATGGTGGCAGGGCACACGGGTTTCCAAGTCAGAGCCCGGGGTGGAGTCCTGGCTCCCCTGCCTTGGAGCTCGGGCCCTGGGCTTCGCGTCTGGGCTATCACTTTCACCATCTCCAGGATGGGGGTTAGGGTTAGGGTTAGGGTCCTGACTCACGGGAGGGAGGCTCTTTGGAGCCAGGGGCACAGGAGGGGCAGGAGACAGCGGGCCGCTCTCTGGCTTCCCCGTGATTCACCCTCCCCGCTTTCTCAGGGTGACAGAGGAGCTCTGGCCACAGAAAGCCCGAGCCTCCCCGCTGCAGCAACTGGTCGGACCTGTTCCTGCTCCACGGGCCTGTGGGAGGGCTTGGCTTTAGGGGAGAAGAGCCTCACTCCCGGAAGTAGATGGGGGGGCGGCAACCAGCAGGGGGTGGATGTGGGGAGGCCATGGGGAGTGGGCCCCGCAGCCAGCGAGGGCCAGGGAGGGATGAGGGGACCTGGAGAGTTGCGGGGGCCCCCGTCCCCTTTTTCATGCTCACTTAAGTGCCTCTGCTCTTGTCTGGGATGCCCAGATGGAGTAGAGCCAAGCCTAACTGTCACCTCGCCCTCCTTCCGGTCTGGGCCTCTCCACACCCCCAATCAACATCCTGAAGCTGAAAGGCCGGCCCAGGCATCTGAAAGAAAGCAGAGTCACCCTCCCCACCCCACACCCCCCCATCCTCCACGGAGCAGAGGGGTGGGGGCTGAGTCCACCGCAGGTGGCAGCTGCCTCCTGGGCCTAGCAGGTCGGGGCAGGAGGGCTGTGGGGCCACCCCGCCCCGCCCCTCCCTTGCCTTCTCTCCCTGCTGGGCAGTGAGGTTTCAGAGCAACCAGCACCCCACCCTCGGAATCTCACCTCTGCTTCCTGTGGCTGACTGTCCATCAGTATTAGCATTGACGGGGCGTCCCCTCGTGCACAGGGTGTAGGGTGGTCTGGGGCTCCCAGCTGTGTTAATCGGACCTCCTAGCAGCCCTGGGAGGCAGGTGGCATTGAGAACAGTCTATAAACAGGGAACCCAAGGCTTTGAGAAGGAAATGACTCGCCCCGGGCCACCGAGCTGGTAAGCTGGGAGCTGGGCCAGGGCCCTGGCTTCAGCATTCGCTCTTTGCCTGGCATCCGGGTGATGATCCAAAACTGGCAGGCCTGGGGGCCGGGGGGATGGGAACCCCATGTCCATCGTGGGCTCAGAGCTCAGGCCCCCTCAGTTTCCTCCATCATGTAAACGTGCCCTCAGGCTGCAGCTTCTAAGCTAAGCTGCTTAGGCTGGGCCAAGGATGGTGGGAACTGTTGCACGCTGAGGGTCTGAGTGTCTGAGCACCTCTCGGCAGGTCCTCTCCAGGTCACGGCCACACAGGGCTCCCCGCAGTCCAGCCCTGCTTTCCACCACCCCCTCCCCATTCAGGCTCCCTGGGATCCAGCAGGCTCTTTGGGGCTCTGTCACTAGCTTCATCCTCGGCCTTGGTTTCGCTGGTGGGACGTCTGGGACCCCCGGCTGTACCTCCCTCAGCCTCATGGTCCTCTGGCTCCCAGCTCCCTTTAGGTGGGCCGTTTGGCTTGGTGGGGACAAGCCGGGAGTCCGTGTGTGGGAGGGAAGGCTTTACTGTGAATATGTAAACTAGCTTTGAATAAGCACCTGCCCTTGCTTCCCCCCTGCAGAGAGGAGGGTACAAAGCAGCTGAGGGTCCCCGTCACTGTACCAGGTACTTAGGCTGGCAGGGATGCTACCAGGAGGGGAGCAGACCGAGCCATTAGCTGGGAGGGATGAGGTAGCCATCCAAACACCATGATAAATGGGCTTCCCTAGCAGTCCGGTGGTTGACTCCACACGTCCCATGCAGGGGGCATAGATTCCATCCCTGGTTGGGTCACTCAGATCTCCCATGCCTCTCGGTGTGGCCAAAAACAAACAACATGATTAACCTTAGAATGTCAGAAAGGCAGAGACCTGAGCTAATCCACTCCCACCCCTCACTTGCCTAAAGAGGGAAACGTGGCGCGGACTCAGGGGTGGCGCTGTGCCCAGGGGCACCCAGGCAGGTTGCAGCAGGGCAGGGCCCCTGGCCAGCATTCTCTGGCTGCTGGAGGATCTGAGGAACCTTCCTCGGTCGGGGGGATGGGGTCAGGCACGGAGCAGGGAGGGCGGCACCCCAGGCCGGTGTGGAAGGACCACGCCCCCCGCTTTCTCCCCACAGCGCGAGCTTCGGCCTCGGCTCTGTGCCATGAAGAAGGGCCCCAATGGTTACGGCTTCAACCTGCACAGCGACAAGTCCAAGCCAGGCCAGTTCATCCGGGCGGTGGACCCAGACTCTCCTGCCGAGGCCTCGGGGCTCCGGGCCCAGGACCGCATCGTGGAGGTAGTGTGAGGCTTCCTGCCCCCTTCCCAGGCTTCTCCTTCCTGATGGCCTCCTCCTGGGCAGCCAACACTGCATCTGCTCCTTGGTTAGCCCGTGAGGCGCCCAGACAGCCCGTAGATGCTGGAGAGAGGGCAGGGAGAATGGTGGGTGAGTGGGCAAGAAGAAAGGAAGGAAAGATGGGGGACTCCCTGGTGGTCCAGTGGTTAGGACGCCACACTTCCACTCCTGGGTCCTTGGTCAGGGAACTAAGATCCCACAAGCTGCGAGGTGTAGCCAAGAAAAAGATTTTTTAAAAAGGAAGGAAAGATGCGTGAACGGATGGATGGACAGACAGACAGAGAGGTGAACTGATTTCTTTCCTGCTTGCACCTCCTGCGGGCTCTTCGCGGAGCAGACACGCTCAGCGGCCCACGGTTCCCCCATCCGTCCAGGGAGCCGCCTGGGCCACGGCCAGTTTCCCGCTCTCCGAGGCCTCCACACCAGCACAGGGACGGGGCGGAGCTGGGGGCCCTGAAATCCGTCCCCCGAGTGAGGCTGGCAGGCACGCTCTTGCACTCTTGTGCTCTGCCGGTCAGAAGAGGAAACGTGAAGCCAGGGCCTGGGGCAGGTCCCAGAATCTCAGTCTTTGAGCCTCAGAGCTGGAAGATCAGCTCTCCCAAGACGTCTCAGTTTACAGGCCAGCAAACCAAGGCCCAGGCAGGGAAGTACCTAGAAAAGCTGGGGCCCAACCCAGGCCTCCCAGACCCTTCCCGAACCGTCTGTCACAGCTGTGTTTGTTCAGTCTTGGCCGGGTATTTTCTTTGGCTTTTCCCACGTGTTCTGCCTCCCCATCCAACTGTCGAGTGGGAGGACCACTCGGCCTGGTTCAGGGCTCCACAGGCCGGGGGTGCTGGGGTGGGCACTGTGTGTTCACCGATTGCCAACCAGTTCAGCCTTCACCTGCCCCCCGCCCAGAACTGAGACCTGTGCGGCTAACCCCTGCCCCCATCTACAGGTGAACGGGGTCTGCGTGGAGGGCAAGCCGCACGGGGAGGTGGTGTCTGCCATCAAGGCCGGCGGGGACGAGGCCAAGCTGCTGGTGGTGGACAGGGAGACGGACGAGTTCTTCAAGAAATGCAAAGTGATCCCGTCACAGGAACACCTGCAAGGTGAGCTGGGCTTGGCAGCCTGAGGGCCCCCCCGGGTCAGGAATGTGCTCTGGACTTTATTGGGTCCCACGGGAGGGCAGGCAGGCGGTGTGGCTTGGGGGAGAGGGTCTTGGAGAGGAAGCCGGCGTCAGCAGTGGGTTTCTGAGGATGGTGTATGGCTGGGGGGTGGGGGGTGGGGACCCGCACAAGAGATGGTGAGATGGAATGGACTGCTGATTCTGCAGAGGGAGGGGACCCCCCCTAGGGCCTCCCCATGTCCGTCCCCCCACCCCACTCTACTCGCGTAATCGCTCAGGGCAGGGCCGATGCAAGGAAACAGTTAACTCTGGGGCGGCTTCCAGCCTTAGCTTGGTCAGATCAGAGTCCAGTGACAGGGCCCCAGTGCCTCCCCTTCCCATCTCTCAGGTTGTCTTGGAAACCCAGGCTTGCTGGCTTGAGAGCGGTGGGTCCCTGGGCCCCTGCCCTCCCCCGCCCCTCCATCACCCTGCCAAGCCTGGCACCTCCCCCGCCCTGGCCCAAGCCAAACCCAAGCCAAACGGGGCAGCCGCCGCCCAGGACGAGGAGGAGCTGAGCCGCGCTCTGCCCCCTGGTCTGGACCTTCTCCCTGGGAAGATGAAGATGGCTCCCGGGGTTGCGGGACTAGGCGGAACCTCTTTGGACTTTGCAATGGGTGGGGTTTCCTTGAGGGTCAGATGTGGGGCACAGGGGTCCACACAGAGGTCTTGCCACAAATTCAGATCGCCAACTTGAGGGGCCCAGTGGGTCCTGGGGGTATCCTGGAAGTCACTAGCAGACTCCGGTCATGGGAGGTGGGTACCACTGTACCCTTGTCTCCCGAGTTCATGGAAAGCAGGTAAGTCCGATAATCCCCGTCCTCATTGGGGGGATCTGAGGCCCAGAGAAGTCCCCCCAGCCTTGCTCTTGGCAACGTGGTATGGGGAAGGGAAAGTGTTGGTTGCTCAGCCCCGTCTAATCTTTGCGATCCTGCCAGGCTCCTGTGCCTGTGGAGTTATCCTAGGCCAGAATACTGGAGTGGTTTGCCATGCCCTCCTCCAGGGGGTCTTCCCCACCCAGGGGTGGAACCCAGGTCTCCTGCGTTGGCAGGTGGATTCTTTACTACTGAGCCGCCAGGGAGGCCCCAGTGTGGGAAGACATGGCTGAAATCCAGACTCCCCTCGGCTGCTCCTGTACCTGCCCCTGCCTCCCCCAGCACCCTTCTCCCCAGACTCCCAAGTCATCAACCCTCTCTCTCCCCCCTGACTGGGCAGGAAGGGCCCTGGGAACCTCCGTGACTGCAGCCTCTGATCAGAGGACCTGCGGAGGGAGGCGCGGGGGCGGGTCCCCTCCCTGGGTGTCCCTCCTCCCAGGGGATGCACGTCCCCAGCCGCTGCCTCCTGCCCACAGCTGGGTAGACCACAGCTCACGGGTAAGCTGGATGCAGTGGAGGGTAGGAGTGAGTGTCCCCGTGTCCCACAGTCCCTGCCCAGCCACTGTGGGAGGCTGGATGAGAGGTGTGCCTGCCCCGGCCCAGGGCAAGGAGAAAGACGTACCCTGATCTTAAGCTAAGCGCTCAGAAGAAACCCACCCAGGCTGACTGGAGATGGAACAGCCCCCGTTGCAGCCAGGTGGAGAGTCTACCCAGAGTGAGGCCAGGGAGGGTGACCCCAGGGCTGCTCGCCCTCTGACCCCACCTGCCACCACCAGGTTTCCCCTTGGCTGGGGGAGGGCACGCCCAGGACTCTGCCCTGAGCCCTGGGGCCCCCCTCCATCCCCACACTAGCCAGGAGGAGTTGGGGTTCTCTCGCAGCTGATAATCATAACCAGGGCATGGTTCCCAGTTCTGTTGACACACCGTCACCTAGGAAGCATTCGAAAAATACTGATTCCTAGGCCTGTCCCAGATCCACTGAGACAGACACCCTGGTGTCAAGCCCAGGGATCTGTATTTCTAACAAGCTTCCTGGGTGGTTGGGAGGCAGCTGCCTGGAATTTCAGCCCCGTCTATGACAGTGCTTTTTTCAAACAGCTCCTTACTCATCAGTGGTTCTTGGGATTAATTGAGTAGGCACCTTTTTTCCTTTTTTTTTTTTAACTTTTTATTTTGTATTGGAGTACAGCCAATTAACAATGTTACAACAGTTTCAGATGAACAGTTTAGGAACTCCGGCATACACACACATGTATCGGTTCCCCCCCAAACTCCCCTCCCGTCCAGCCCCCACGCGACAGTGAGCAGAGTTCCCTGTGCGCTGCAGCAGGTTCTTGTTGGTTATCCACTTTCCATATAGCAGCGTGCACATGTCCATCCCCAACTCTCCACCGCCCCTCCCCCGTCTTTTTGATGGAGCTGAATAGGAAATCTCAAAGAGCCTTGAGATGTAGTAAGGGCAAGCTGTTTTGTTCAATGTTACATAGTCTGAGGCTGCTGGGTTGTCAGAATGTCCAGTGTACTATGGTGGGTGGCAGTCAGGAGACTTAAACACTGACCTTGGGGAACAAGGTCAAGCAGTCTAGCCAAACCCCACGACCCCCCGCCTTCCGCGCCCCACTCTGTTCCCACGTCTTCTGACTCACCTGCGCTCTTCTCTTCCCCATCTAGGTCCCTTGCCTGAGCCCATTACCAATGGGGAGATCGAGAAGGTAAAGGCAGAGCCCTGATGCTTCTCGGGCTCAGCCCTGGGGCTGCGGGAGGCGGGGGAGGACGTGTGGTTAGGAGGAGGACAGGGTCTGGTTCAGGTGGAGACCTCAAGTCTCAAGTCCCAGGCCGTGTAAGGGCCCCAGCTTGGGGCCGAGGCAGAGGGGATGGAGCCGCCTGGCCAGGCCCATCCTGGATGACAGGCCCCGCCTTCAGCTCCCCACCACACAGGAGGCCATTCTTCCCCCCAAGAACAGAGCGGCAGTGTCTGCCCGCGGGCTGCTGGGCCCCTGCTACTTCCAGTCTGGGTTGGGAGAACAAAGCCCCTCCTACCCAGGCCGAGGGAAGCGGGGGCCAGGGGAGAGATGGCGCAGCCCGGTGCCAGCTGGGGCCACGGGAACCCAGGCAGAAGCTCAGTGTCCAGCTGCAGCCCGAGGCCTGGGCTCTGGGACAGCCCCCTCGGGGTCAGGCCACAGGGCGGGAGGGCTCCTCAGGGTCTGCTCCAAGGCTTCCTTTCCCTGGGGGCTCCTGCTGGGGGGCGCAGCAAGAAGGCCCTGAACCACCTGAGCCTTCAGTCACTTTCCCTGCGGGTCTCTAACTCTCCCCGACCTTATTCCCTCAAAGCCCTTCTTGGCTGCTTGGGGGTTAAGATTTCAAGAATCCAGGGGTCAAGTCCAAGTAAACAAGTCAGGTGGGCTGCAGGAGACTCGGGACATCACGGGTGATCCCCACACTCAGCAGAGTCTCCCGGCGCCCCCACACCCCAGGAGGCCCCTCCGTGGTCACTGTGCCAAGGAGGAGTCAACCCCAGAGGCTGCCTGGGAGGACAGGGGCCGGGTGAGCCATCCAGCTAATCCCACGAGGGGTGGTCCTGCTGCCCTGGATGGTGGAACCCGGCTGCCCTCTGATCCTTGCAAGAATGTGAAAGTGCAAATCCCCACGGGGCCCTGGCAGGCTCAGGCAGCGGGACTCTGGGGTGGATGGCAGGACTCAGACCGAGGCCCCGTCTTCCCCGGGAGTGCCTTCATAGCTCAGGACTACCCACCCACACGCCTCCTCTCCTCTCTGCACCAGAACAGTCCTGAAGCCCTGGCCGAGACGGCCTCCGAGAGCCCCGTGCCACCCCTGGCAAGAACCGCCTCCAGTGACACCATCGAGGAGGTAAGGCTGGCCAGCTGGGCGGATGGGGGGTGGCACTGGGTGGCAGCAAGTCTGCTCCCAGGTCTCGCTCACTCCTGGCACACCAGCCTGCCGTGGAGGTCATACGCTCAGCCACGTTCTGTTCTCGTGACCTGGCTTCCCCGCGCATGGCCTCAAGGGAGCACCTCGCCAAGGCACTGAGGCCCCCCTCTTCCTCCTCTTTGCAGCTGAATTCCCAAGACAGCCCCAAGAAACAAGACTCCACGGCACCCTCATCTACCTCCTCCTCATCCTCCGACCCCATCCTGGACTTCAACATCTCCCTGGCCGTGGCCAAAGAGAGGGCCCACCAGAAGCGCGTCAGCAAACGGGCCCCGCAGATGGACTGGAGCAAGAAAAACGAACTCTTCAGCAACCTCTGAGCCGTACCCCACCCCCGCCACCAGGAAAGCCCAGCCCCATATCCAGCCCGACCCCCTCTCCCCCACTTACCCCCAGATCAACACACAAATCAGCACCAGCATCTCCTCTCTTGGCAAATCTGATCTTTCTAGAGAACTGTGTTCTTCCCTTACCTCCGACAAAGTGACTGGTTTTCTGTCCTGCCCCAGTCAAAAAGCAGACTCTGTGTGTCCGTCCTCGCTGGGTGCTTCAGCCCACCCAGATCCCCCCCTGCCACCCTCCTGGGACGTCACTGGGACCTCCATCAAGCAAAGATCCTGAGATTGGGCAAGTGGTCACCTTCCCTCCTGGCCCCAAATGATGACTAGGTCCAGGATCCATCAAGGACTCCGATCACAGCAACATCCCCGAGTGGACTGGGGCCACCATCCTCAGAGCTGTGACTTGGGCATCTTATTTTTGATTTTTTAAGTGCAGTACTACAGTTTAGAGGGACTTTCGATTCTTGATTAACATGATTTCCCAAGTTGTTGCATCCGGGACGTAGCAGTGGCCCTACCCTTCCTTCAACTTTTGTTTCTGCTCCCACCCCAGAGACCTGGGCAACGTGGGGAGGGTCTGGCCACCCCCTGCCCAGCCCTGAGCCAGACACAATTATAAGGAAACTCTTACCCGAAATTCAACTAGTTTCTGCAAACAGCCTTGGCCTCTGTGTGTTCTTTTGCAGCTCTGTCCACACGTGTCCCTAGAGTGGCCTCTGGCTGAGAGGACGGTCCAGGACTCCCTGGGACTCTAAGCCCAGAGCCAGAAGTGGGATGGCTTTAACCAGAGGGCCTTGAGCCTGTAGCTGCTGGGTGGCTAGGCCATGCATGGGTCCTGTGCGAGGACCCTGCCTGGGCCAGCCCTACAGGAATGATCATCAGGGAAACGGGGAGCTTAGAGACCATGTGCGCAGAGGGAGGGCTCTAAGACCCACCTCGGATCCCAGGAGCATTCAAAGGGTGAATCCACGATGGAGCCAGACTTGGAGAGAGAAGGCTTGGCTTTAATCTTTAATCTTTCTGCTAGAGAGGTGCCGATTCCCAAGTGACCCAAGCTGGTGTCCCCGCCCCCTTCCCAGATACTCTTATCTTACCTGGCCATGGACCTGACTGCGGGGATGGGGAGGACAGACCTGGCCTGCTGGGCCCTGGGACATGCTTGTGGCAGGTGGGGTGGGGGGACTTTCCAAGGATGAAATGCCCTGCTCCTCCACAGGAGGTCCAGGTCTCTGTACTGCTAACCCGAGGGCACCCTGGGCAGCTGCCACTGTGGCCTGCAGGGCCTGATTCATGGGCAGGCAAGAGGAAGAGAAGCTAGCCCTGGGCTGTCCTCCACCCCACCCGGAGGCCACTCAAGCCAGGTTCCTGGGACTGAGGAGAACAAGCAGGGAAGGTCACTATCTGGCCATCACTAGACCTGTTAAGATTAGTTAGAATTCCACCACTGGGAAAGAGAAACCTTCCAAAACCCTTATCACGGCACCAACTGCAGCAGTTAGGCTGGGCCTGGCCTGACCCCACTCACCCTTGCCTCCACCCTGTGACCTCTGATGGAGGTCCCCTGCAGGTGTGCCGGCCCCCCAGGCTGGGGAGGGGCCCTCCCTACCTCACCTGCTGGGTGGGGAGGCCCTAAGGACTTTTGACTCTGATGAAGCTGGCACAGGTGGCTCAGAGGCACCTGTCACCGAGGGGCCCGAGCCCCAGCGAGCAGAGTGTGTGTGAGGTGCAGGAGGCATGCGTTTTTTCAATGAGTTTATTGGGGTTGTGCAGGGTCTTCATGCTGTGTGGGCTTTTCTCTAGCTGCAGCGAGCAGGGGCTGCTCTCCAGTTGGGGGGGCGTAGGCTTCTCACTGCGGTGGCTCCTCTTGTTGCAGAGCACGGGCTCTGGCGCCCACGCTCCAGAGCACCGACCCAGAGGCTGTGATGCATGGACTCAGCTGGTCTGCCATCTGGGGTCTTCCCAGACCAGGGGTGGAACTCGCGTCCCCTGCTTTGGCAGGGGGGCGATTCTTTACTACTGAGCTGCCAGGAAAGCCCTCAGGCTATTTTAGATTCTAGTTTTCCACGCTCCCATCTGGTGAGAGAGGCCTGGGAGCTGGCAGTCCTCAGCCACAGTCCTGGCTCTGCCATCAAAAGCGCCGGGGCCTCTGGCAAGCGCCTGCTCCTCCCTCAGTCGTGTCTGACCCTTTGCGACCCACGGACAGCCCGCCAGGCTCCTGTCCATGAGATTTCCCAGGCAAGACTACTGGAGTGGGGTGCCATTTCCTTCTCCATGAAAATACCCTAGGTGCCCTCAAAGGTCTCTTCTCCGATGGTGTTTTGAAACCATGCCACCGGGTTACGACAGGGCGTGATGAGAGACAGATGTCAAAGGCTGTCCCGCTGGCTCTGAGGTGCTTAACTGGCTGCCATGCAGCCCGGCCAACTCAGGCCTATGCCATGGGCGCCCCCTCATGGCCTCGGCAGGTGGAGCTGCTCCCGGGGAGGCAGGACAAGGCAGGGAGAGCGAGGTGCCTTCAGGAGGCCGCGGCTCTGGCCTCCGCTTCCTCCCACAGCCCTTGTAGCTGAGCAGGAGGCCTGAGCTTCATCGGGGTGGGGGGGGGCGCAGGGGGTGCTCCAGCCACACGGAGCTGTGTCCAGAACTAACTTACCCCGCTCTCAAAACTGGCTCCAAAGACCAGGACACCCACCCACTTTCCCAGCCACCTGGCTGTCCTTCAGGGCTGACCCCCTTCCTTTCCAAACCTCCCGGGGTCACGCCCTCCTGCTTCTGCAGGACTGAGGACCAAGCTCCCAGCACCATCCCTGCGACGCTGGAGGCTCTCCTCACAGGCCCAGTGAGGGAACAGGGCCAGCTGCATGCAGTGCACTTTACTCCCGGCCCGAGCCTGGGCAGCCCCTCCGGGGGAAAGGGAGGCCCCACGCAGTCACAGGCCGCCCGGGTCCGCAACTCTGCCTCTTCCACCTGTGGACTCAGGCCATCCACTCCAGTCTGAGTCCAGGTTTGGCAGGAGGACGGGCTGATCCTGGAGTAGCCCAGCCACAGCAGGCAGCCAGAGGGAGGCCAAGGCCAAGTCTGGCCCAGAGTCTGAGTGGCCCCACAAGGAGATTCCCAGCCTGGAGCGGGGCCAGCGTGCCCCACGCCCCAGGTTCCATCCGTTCACCTGCAGCAGGGCTCCGGGCTTCCACGCCCATCCACACAGCGAGGCCTGTCCATGCGGCCGGCTGTCAGTAGGGCTCTGATGTCCCCTCTCTGTAGGGCTTCTCTTGCACGTGGCTGGTCTGCTCTAGAAGCCACTGCCGCTCCGGCTCACTCATCATCAGCCTGAGCGTCACCTCCTGGAAGACACTGCTCACAGCCACCTATGTGCGCCAGGGACAGAGCAGGGCCCGCTAAGTCACAGCCCCAGGTCCGAGCACCACCGGGCCCCCCCGCCCAGACCTGGGCCTCACCCTCTCACCAGCACCAGCCTCACCTGCTCAAAGTGAAGCTTTCGGAACATCCGGATGCTCGGCTCATTTCCTTGCCCAATTTTAGCCTCAAACTTGGTCAGACCTAGCCTGGTCACTCCTTCGGAAGGGATCAGAGAGGATAAGCTGCACTATGAAGCCCCCCACTCCTCCTCCCAGCACCCTCCACCCCACCTGCCCCAACCCCTGGGCCTGAAGGTTCGCCCCCACCCCCTCGCCTTCCCCTGGGACCGCCTGCCCGGCCCTCCTCACCATAAAGCAGCATCATGAGGACGGCCTCCGTGCCCAGGCCCTGGCCCCTGCAGCTGGGCTCTAGGAGGAACAACAGAGTCACTGACACTGCATGCCCGGCTCACAACCCTAGGAAGCTTGCAGATATGGGTACCATTCTGCAGATGAAGAGACAGAGGCCCAGAGAAGTGAAACGATTTGCCCAAGGTCTCACAGATCAGCGACACTCAGCAACCTGACCCCAAAACTGACCCCCTCAGCTTAGCGTGCTGCCCCACGAGCACGTGCGCACAGCCCTTTAGAAAGGGGCTGAGGACCATGATGGACACAGAAACGGGGGCCCCTCACACAGCACAGGAAGATGCTCCAGGGAAGAACACTGATTCTGGGGAGTCCCCAGTCCACCCCAAAGAGAGGGCAGCCTGCAGATCCTAAAACCAAAGGTTACGTTCACACCCACGCATGAGATGGGAATAAAACGATCCACCAAGGGTGAGCCGCATGGCTAACAGGGTGCCAAGTGGTCTGCCCGGCCAGGGGCTGGGCTCACCAAGGCCAGGGCCTTGCACCGAGCTCTTTGGGTGCCTTATGCAGCTTGGGCGGCTTCAGGTTCAGCGGATCTGAGGGCCAGAGGGGAGGGAGGGCAGGGCCAGGTGGGACGAACCTGCAATCATGACCTCGATCTCCCCCAAGGAGGGGTCCCCGGGATCCGTGAGGAAGAGGTTCACATCTCCCGCCATGCAGCTCTCCTCGCTGGGGCCCGGCTGAGCCTGCCGCTTCTCTGCATCCAGCACAATGAAGGTACACTCTGTGGAGGGGGCACAGGGTCATCACCTTCTCCCCACAGGAGGGCAGGGGCCAGTCTTCCCACCTGAGCCAGAGGACTAGCCCTGTCTCTGAGTCTGGCAGAAAAAGGGAGCTGGCGCTTCCTCCCGCTGATTACAGAGCCCAAAAGCGGCCTCCTTCAGTAAACAGTGGCCTTCTGCAAACAGTGACTGCATTCTCAGAGGGGGATGCGACAAAAAGACCACGCTGGGCTTACAGCAAGGGGCGCGAGGGGGTGCAGCCTGATTTACAGCCACAGCCCCACAGCTTTCTTTTCTCTACATTCCTCCAGTCCTGATGCAGTGAGTGAGGAAGAGAGCAGAATTATCAGCCCCCACCATCGGGGTCTGGCTTCAGGGGGCGTCACAGTCTCAGGGTTTCAGACACCTCCCCAGAGTTCCACAAAGTGCTTTTTTTGTGCAACCTTTCTGGGACCCCAGCCGGGAATGGGAAAATGAGGGACCCAGGATGGCCTCTGGGATCAGCCCTCCCACGACCGGCCCGGCCCGGGCCTCCTCTGCTGCTCACTGTCCGCGTCGTCCCGCCAGCTGCGCTGCATCTCGTACTCCTGCTCCAGGGTTAGTGGCTCCGAGGCTGTCAAACGCTGCAGCTCCTCTGATTTCATCCATTCGTGGTACCTACAGGGGCAGAAGGGCAGCCTTCAGCAAGTAGGACCGATTCAGAAGCCTAAGTCTGACATTTTATGAGATGAAGAAACGGATGCTTGAGGCAAACCCCCAGGGCTAACAGAGGGCCAGAGAAGACCCAAGAAAGGGTTATAACGGCTCCTATGGCACAAGGCCGCAGGCCCAGTAGCCAGAGACAGCAGGAGCCAGTCCTGTCTGTTCAGCCTCCTCTCCTGTCTCAGGGGTCAGTGTAGGGGGGTCAGTTGGAAGCTAAACATTCCTCAAATTCCTGAGGAGAAGTAATGGCAAGCTGAACTCAGCAAAGAAGGCTGGACAGATCTCCACAAAGGCGGGGCGCCAGAAACCCCCCAAACGAAAACTATAAGCAGCAGCGAATACACGCCTACAGCACTACCAGCCCCCTCTACCAGACATTCGCCAACCACCACCAAAAGAGCCCCACCCCGAGGCTCATTCCTGGCCATCCCAAACTGTAACAGACCTCCCTCACAACAACCCATGGGCTCAGTTTTACAACACGTTAGCGTTCAGTCTCCAAGAACTGAGCCTATTTACTGGCACCAAGGGGGTGGCACTCTTTTACACTCAGGAGAGAAGACAATACCTTTTCTTCCGTACCCACATGTAGTTTACATAAAGGAATTCCTTGCTGAAAGGCCAAAAAGGAAGCTGGTGGGGGGCGGGGGGGGGGGGGTGAAAGGGAGAAATACCGGCGGTGACTTCCTCCACGGAGGTCATTGCCCTCTGCTCCAGTTTTCACTTTTTCCTATTTGCAATGACTTCTCACACCAAGGTTTCTCTTCCTCAGAGAAAAACAGCCTCTGAGATTAGGGTTATGACAGGCTGACCCTCCTCGCTGCACCCTGGAGAGGTGGCTTGCATCCCACGTCAGTGGAGTGGTTACCTGGGCACATGCTCTGAGGTGTAGGGGACCAGCGCCACCTTCTTCCCCAGCAGCAAGATGTTCTGATTCAGCCTCATGGTGGCAACCTGCAGCTAGCGGGGAGGGCAAAGATTTCAGCACCTGAGTTTCCTCCCACTTAGGGTGGGAGCCTGAGCTCTCAATTCGCTAAACGCCTCCAGGGGCTAAGTTGTCAGAAGAGAAAGCCGCCATCCTTCCTTTCCAAACCCTTCAGAGAACACGGCCTTTAAACCCCTTGCAAGGAGGGGAACCGGGCTGGTCAAAGATAATTAAACAATCCTGGACTCGCATCTCAAGGAGCCTTCAAGCATGGGCTGTCCCTTCCACCCCATCACCCAGAAGGCCTCATCCCCAAGCACTAAGATTTATCACCGAAACTCCCATCACCTGCGCCAGTCCTAAGACAACGCCCCCTACGGTTAATTTTGTGCCGCGTCCTAAACCTGTTCCAGCCCCTTTTCGCAGCGAACCTCCCCGCCCCCATGGACTCTCGCGAGCCATCCGGGCCCTACACCGGGCCGCTTTAGAGGGAGGCGGGCTGAAGGCCTCGATCGCCTGCCCTTTGTGAGGGGTCACAGGCTACGCTTCTCGAAGCCCACGGCCACTGGGCTCCCGGGGACGGCCAAATCCACAGCCGCTGGGCCCTGACAGGAGCCCACCTCTCGCGCCCGGCCCCAGCCTACTCCCCCGGGCCGACAGCGGCTCTCACGCACGCGCGTAGGCGCGCGCCCCGCCCGCTTCCGCCCCGTAGAAGGTGGCCGCCGAGGCGCGCGCGCGACCCTACGCCGCCAGGAGCCCAATCCGCGCCGCGCGCCCCGCCCACTTCCGCCCCGCAGACGGCGGCCGCGGAGGCGCGCGCGCAGCCCCGCCCCCGCGAGGCGCCCAATCCGCGCCGTGGGCCCCTCCCGCGGCGCGCGCGGAAAAGGTGGGCTCCCGGCGCGGGCGCATGCGCGCTGCGGGCGCTGGTGTTGGACAGCTGGCGCCGGCCGCAGCCCCGGGGATCGCAGGCGGCGGCCGCGGCGGCCCGGAGCCGGCTTCGCTGCAGGTGTCGGGGCGAGAGGCTGGGGTGGGCTGGGGTAGTGCCCGACTCGGGGCTCCTTCAGGAGAGGGGAGGAAAATGGGGAAGAGGATCAGAGAGGAGCGAGAGCCCCAGGCAGGTTGGGGGACGTGGAGCGGAGGCCCTGGACGGGGCTCTGGGACAAGGAGTTGGGTTGGGGGGTGACCTCGGAAGCCCCCAGCCCCTTGCCCCAGGCGGAGGAGGCAGTTATTTGGCTGCCCTGTTGCGATCGTGAGCTCGCTGTTGCTGGCATTGAATGGGGATAACCAGAGTGTGTTAAGGAGACCCTTGTGGTGGGTGAGACTTAGTGGCATCCGAGGACTCTTAAATCACTTGCAGTCTAAGCAGCAATGAATACATGCCCTGCACAGCCAGGGAAAGGTAGGAAGAGACCACCCAGGTGTCATGATACAGGGAGATACTTCTGTCCCTGCTGTCTGGTGACAGATGTTGAGGCCATAAAGTGTCAGTCGCTCAGTTGTGTCCCATTCTTTACGACTCCATGGACTGTAGCCTGCCAGGCTCCTCTGTCCATAGGATTCTCCAGGCAACAATCCTGGAGTGGGTTGCCATTCCCTTCTCCAGGGGATCGTCACAGCCCAGGGATTGAACCCAAGTCTCTTGCATTGCAGGCAGATTCTTTACTGTCTGAGTCACCCAGGAAGCCCCTGAGGCCTTAAGTGTCTGATTAAAGGATGGGGAGGGGGTGGCCTTGCAAACATCCCCAACCGCTGTCCAAGTCCCTGAGAAAGCTGAAGTCTGTTCTTTTTCCAGGGAGCTGCAGCAGCTGCCGCCCCAGCGAGAAAGAAACGTTGACCGCCGAGGGACCCTTCCTCACTTTGGGAAATGGCAGGCGAAATCACAGAGACCGGGGAGCTCTATTCTCCCTACGTGAGTTTCGCTTCTGGGGCCTATTTTTGCCCACATCGGTGCCCTTGGCTTCTAAAGAAGCACACTGCTTCCTGTGGACTGTGCTTGTGAGCCCGGCGGCTTTCACGGCTGGGGTCTGGGAACCCGAGTCAGCAGCAAGCCATGGTGAACAGAGGATGAGAGTGAGATTTGTTAACTCTTTACGTGTTGATCAGAGAGCAGTTGGGAACACAACTGGCCCCTTATTTTTTATCTCAGGGCTGCTGTCACTTGCAAACTGTGAGGTCAGTTCAGATGGATGGGTGCTGTCAGCTGTCGACTCTGGGTTTTGCTCCACTCAGCAGTTTGAAACCATTTCACTTCTTAGCCGAACTTTATGTTGCACAACTTTTATAGTCTCGGATGGCGTAAGAGGCAGAGAAAGCACGCGGAGACCTCCAGTTGTGGTTCTCTGGAGCCTGTAATTAGAACAACTACAATGATGGATTTCTCACTGTTGTGGGTCTGCGTTACCCTCACACATACACTCAGTTTATCTTCTTTGTGTTATAGAAGATTGCTCATGGGTCCATCATGGAATCCTCTATAGTTGAAGGATTGGAGGATTGGAATAATCAAATGATTGATTCATGTTGCTACCAAGTGCCCCAGTGCTGCTAAGTATTCCAGGAAAAGGCAGCACTGCCTTAAGTAGCAAAGTCCTCTTTCTAGAAAGTCCCTAACCTTAAACAACTGCCCTGCTTTGGACTTCCCTGGGGACCCATGCTCTGTCCCTGCTCAGTTGTGATGTGATGGATAAGGAAGCACTGAGAACAGCTGGCAAAACCCTTACACCAAGGTCCTGTGCCATTCGTGTGTGACTCCAAGGGCCACTTCTTCACCTCGTAATTTTATTTATTTATTTTTTTGGCTGTATTGGGTCTTCATTGCTTCACGGGCTTTTCTCTAGTTGTGACCAGCGAGGGCCTACTCTCTAGTTGCGGTGCTTGGACTTCTCATTGCAGTGGCTTATCTTGTTGCAGTGGAGCGCAGGCTCTAGGACGTGTGGGCTTCAGTAGTTGCGACTCCCGGGATCTAGAGCACAGACTCAGTAGCTATGGGTCACTCGTTTAGCTGCTCCAGGGCATGTGGGATCTTCCCACATCAGGGATCAAACCCTCATCTCCTACATTGGCAGGCAGATTCTTTACCCCTCAGCCACCAGGGAAGCCCCTTCACCTCGTAAGTGATCAGGTTAGTCTTTCTTGAACCTTGAAATGGATCGGATCATGCTCCTTTCATCTGTGGAATTACGTAACAGCTCACAGCCCCCTCTGGGTATCAGCAATGACATGTCCACACTGTCTATAAACATCACCAGGGCTCCTGCGTCATCTTCCAACATCTGTAAGCTTAGAGGTGAGGAAATGAGTTATTTCTGTAGCTGAGCCTTGGGAAGGAAAGCCTTTGATGTGCCCACTTTTCTTGGGCCTCCAGCTGTTCAGTAATCATTTCACATGTCAGCATGTGCCCACAGGAAATGGGGCAGTGAGACCTAAAAGCCTCAGCAAATTCCGGTTTTTAAAACTCTTTCCCTGCATCTCCTGTGTGTTGGGTGTTGTTCAAGGTCTGCGTTCAAGGGTCTCCTCTGGGTATTGGCCATAAGCAGAGGCTCGTATTCTCTAATCATGCTGGTGAAGAGAGAGGCGAGGGGAGGTGGGTGGTACTGAGGGTGAGGTGGCGCTAAGCAGGAGTTAGCGAGGGTTTGAGCAGAGAACATGCCTCCTGCCTGAGCTTTCCGTAACTCTGCCACCCTGCGAGAATGGTTCTTGATCCCCCGTGAGACCAGGAGGAGGGTTGGAGATGCACCCCCCACCTCCCCGCGCTGAGCCCAGAGGGACTGCGGAACAGACTTGACTGCAGGCGCTGCTTTCCTCAGCAACTGAATTCCCTGCTCAGCAGAGCCCAGGCAGAACCGTGCTGGCTGCCTTGGGGGAGCCTGATGCTGAGGGCGCGTTCCCAACCCCAAGCCTCCCCCCACCTCTGTGCCCTGTTCTGAGTTCCTGCCCTTCGTGGGTGTCACGGGTGTTCGCCTTCACCTGCATTCTTCTGCATAACCGACGTGTGATGAGCCTCGCAAGGGGACTCAGATGACAAGCCCTCTCAAGGATAGCATGGTTCAGGCCTGTGCACCTCGCCCTCATAGGTGATCTCAGAACAGGCTTGTCTGTGTCCCCATGTATGGGGACCTCAAGTGGCACGGGACTGAAGGAATCCTGTGGTCGAAATAGAAGAAGAAGGGGGTCCCCGCCCACAGAGAGGCAGCTGCTGAGGCTGCCCCCCACCAGCCCATCTTGCTGAAGATGGGTGACGGTGCTTTCGAAGGAAAGAGGGCTTGTTTCGCGGCCTGAAACCCGAGTTGTTGCTTCCCCATCTCCGCCGCCTTCTGTTTCCTGTGACAACTGTCGTTGGGGAAGCTGTTGAAAGATGCCGGTGACACCGACCCTGTGTGCACCCGTGGGTGAGGCCACAGGAATGCTGCACTGAACCCCTAGAGCGGCGGGTCAGCCATTCCTGGGGAACTGTGCCTTCCCTGGGTCAGCCGCAGGGAAGAGTCGAGAACGGGAGGAGGCTTGGTTGGCAGGGCCGCTTTACTGAGACTGCAGCAGGGCCCTACTTCTCTGCTTTTGGTCTTGCCTCCCTGGAGGCTGTCCCCAAGAACAGTCACCAACCAGCAGGAGAGGGGACCCCACACACACACCAGCTTCCTCCTGCCTCGCAACTGCCTTCCACCCGACCTGGGGCTCAGCTCAGGTTTGCTCCCTGCCTGTTTGCTCTGCTCCTTGAGATCGGTCCTTTCTGATCCCCTTGACAGAAAGTAAAGAGGGTTTAACTCTGGAGACACCATACATTTTCCTATAGGGTACCCCACCCACCCACCCCCAGACTCAGAATACTAGCCTCAAACTAAAAAAGTAGCAACAACCCAAAACAAATTGGATTACCCATTTGTGCTCCTAACTTCCAACAGTCAATCACTAATTAACTTCTTTGTCAGGTTCTTAAAGGATCTTTTTCACCGAGATCTATTTGAAGTTTCTGTTGGGTGTGTGTTTATTTCACTATGTGTTTATCAGCAGTGGTTCTCAGCTAGCGGCTGTCTTGCTTACCAGGGGACATCTGGCAATGTCCGGAGACCCCGTGACTGTCACAACACAGCGGTGAGGTGTGGACTACTGGAGTCTAGTGGCTAGAGGCCAGGGATGCTGCTAAACACCCCGACAATGCACAGAACAGGCCCCCACAATAAGGAATAATCTGGCGCCAAGTATCAGCAATGCTCTGTCTGAGAAACCCTGCCATCCTTGAATTCACAAATGCCTCTTGTACTACCTAATTTCCCCATGAAAGTTACTTTTGGGGAGCTGGGAGGGGAGGGCTGTGTCATGCATGGCTTGCTGGATCTTAGTTCTCCAGCCAGGGATTGAACTTGGGCCCCCTACATTGGAAGTGTGGTGTCCTAATCATTGGACTGCCAGGGAATTCACATTCCCATAAAACTTCTGGATGAGAACCATCACTTTCTTAGGGCTCTTTGCCTTCTCTTAACTACTATCATGAGAACCATCACCAGAGCCATTTTCCGTAAGAAATAAGTGCTCTTCATAAGTGTTACCACTTATAAAATCGATATGCAGGGCCCCGCCTTGGCCGTCCAGTGGTTAAGACTCCATGCTTCCACTGCATGGGGCACAGGTTCGATCCCTGGTTGGGGAATTAGAAGTGGTACAGAATCCACCTGCCAGTGTAGGAGATGCCAGAGATGTGAGTTCAATCCCTGGGTCTGGAAGATCCCTTGGAGAATGAAATGACAAGTCGCTCCAGTATTGTTGCCTGGAAAATTCCATGGACAGAGGAGTCTGGCAGGCTATAGTCCATGGGGTCTCAAAGAGTCAGACACGACTGAGTGTGCACACACACACATGTACTGTGCTGCAGTGTGGAAAAAAAAAAAAGGAATGAAGCTGCTGGAAGATCAGACGTTAGGTTCCCCCCCGGGGCCTGGTCTCTGTGTCCTGCATACACTCCTGCGGCGGCGGTGGACCCCCTGTCCCATGCACCAGGGCTGGGGAGTCTGTCTGCAGCCTTGCTGGCCATTCTCCAGCCACACGCCTCAGACCTCCCGGAACATCCTTCCCCATCTCCCACCTTAGGCCCTCATCCCTGCCAGTCTCTTCCATGGCCCTTTGCCTGGATGGCTCCCGCTCAGCCTTCCGCTCCTGGCTTGAATGTCATCACGAGGCCGCCCACTCCCGGAGGTGCTGCCCCATTATCCTTTGTCACTGAGCCCTGGTTCCTTCCTCCCAAACGCTTCTCCGAGGTGGTGACCGTTGTTTGTTTTCTTGTCTGTGTCCTCTTGCCCGTCTTGCTCCCTGTCGTCCCCCAGGTTCTGAGCGCAGAACCAGGATCACTGGACACTCTCGGTAGCTGTTGAGTAAGCGAGCACATGAGCAGGCCTGGGCGAGCTCACTGACCCACACCCGCCCACACCTGGAGGTGCTCCCCTCCAAGGGCCGGTGATTGAATTAACCCCAGCAAGAGTCAAAGTTGGGGTTTCCCGACTGGCACAGCAGTAAAACATCCACCCGCGTTCGATCCACGGGTCAGGAAGATCCCCTGGAGTAGGAAGTGGCAACCCACTCCAGTATTCTTGCCTGGGAAATGCCATGGACAGGGGAGCCTGGCACACTGCAGTCCATGGGGTTGCAAAAAGTCGGACATGCCTGAGTAACTAACACACACAAAGTCAAAGTTAGCCTGAGGATGTTCACATCTTTGAAAAGTCAATTCAGAAGGTCACCTGTCACCCTCACGTTTATTCTCACCACATCACCCTGGGCCAGGACTCTTGGCAGGGGAAGCACCTCGTGCTGGTGGTGTGATCCAATTTAGAGCCAGAGGAAAACAGCTCAAACTTCTTTTAATCCTTCTGAGATCCCTCTAGGGATCAAGATGAGACTGGGATGTTTAACACGGGACTGGGATTTGCCTCTGGGATCAAAGTGAGACTTGGAAGAAAACCGTCAGATTCACGGCAGAGGGAAGTGAGCTGGGGCCACCGAGGATTCCCATCTCAAGGCCAGGCACCCCAAGAAATGCAGTGAGACACAGCGAGCCTCGGATTTAGTAACAGGGGAAAGATAAACACATCGACACCCAAAACCCAAACTAGGGCATCAGAAGTGCTCTAAATCCAGGGCTTTGAGACTGGGAGCAAGATGGACTCAGGAGACTGGGAAGGGCTTTGGAGTGGGAGCGGCTTTGGAGTGGGCACCGCCTCCCCGCCATCCCGTGGTGGGTGGGAGTTGAGGGGCTGGGTGGGAGGCACAGGAGCTTGGTACCCTGGGCAGAGCTATGTCCTCTCTAGAGGACACCCACCTGTTTGTCCAGCACTCAGACGGCCAATCAACCCCTGCCCCGAAGCCTGTCTCCCTTCCTGACCACTGCTTGGCCCCTGTGATAATTAAAGCTGTAGGCTCGAGTGATGTTGCTGAGGATGAGATACAGAGAGAGAAAGAGACCGCCAATGTCAGTACGAAAGGTTGAAGACTAACACAGCCGTTGGGTTAGGCAATCAGGAGGCCATTGGTGATTATATTTTTCTTTTTTGTTTGTTTTTTGTTTGGTCATTGGTGATTTTTAAGAATGCAGTTTCAAGAGAGTTCTAGGGATGGAAACCACAAATTGCAGGAAATGAAGGCAGAGGATATAGTTGCTTCTTTTTTATCTCATTTTTTGGCTGCGCTGGGTCTTCATTGCCGCGTGGGCCTTTCTCCAGTTTTGGGAGCGTTGGCTACTCTCTAGTTGCGGTGCTCAGGCTTCTCATTGCGGTGGTTGAGGACCATGAGCTCTAGGAACATGGGCTTAGTTACTCCATGGCATGTGGGATCTTCCTGGGCCAGGGATCGAACCCATGTCTCCTGCATTGGCAGGCGGATTCTTCATCTGAACCACCAGGGAAGCCTATGCTTGCTTCCTGAAGGAGTCGGTTAAGGGAAAGTTAGAAAGCGGTGTGTTAAAGGTGTCAAAGAGTGTTTGCAAGCAGAGGGGAAGAGCTCGGAGGAGGAGAGGCTTCTAGAAAGAACTGAGCCCAGCTTGGGGGCAGGGCTGACCCTCTCAGCTGAGGAGTAAGCACAGGGGTCCCCAGAGACAGGAGGAAGGGAAGGAGGAGGCACCAGGTTTTGAGTTCAGAAGGAGCGAGGCTTGGGAATTCCCTGGAGTTCCAGCAGTTAGGACTCGGTTTTTACTGCTGTAGGCCCAGGGGTCGATCCCTGGTTGGGGAACTGAGATCCTGCAAGCTGCTCGGTGCAGGGAGAAGAAAAAGGGAGGAGTGACCTTGGGGAGTGTGCATCCGATGGTCTCCATTACCTCTGTAGTGTCTCTAGAAGGACAGCCTTCACCTGAAAGAGATGGGAGCCCTGGGTCTGGGTTTTGGAGACTGAAGTTTGGAGCCTTTATGTGGGACGTGCTTGCAAGTCCACCGCGAAGAGGAAAGAAAATCTGATGCCGCCGACCACAGGGGAAGGGACCCTCATCTGTCAGAGGCCTCAGCATTAGAATTGCTTTTTTAATTTTCAAAAAAGGTATTTATTGTTTGCTTGTTTGTTTGGCTGCACCAGATATTAGTTGTGGCGTTCGGAATCTTGAGTTGCAGCCTTTGAACCTTAGTTGCAGCAGGTGGGATCCAGTTCCCTGACCAGGGATGGACTCTGGGCCCCTGCCATGGGAATTCAGAGTCTTAGCCACTGGACCACCAGGGAAGTCCCATCATCGTGAGGATTTTTTTTTTTAATTCCAGGAGCCTTTAGCAGCTTCACGTTAGAGAACTGAGGAAGCAGGTGCTGATTCATCTCTGAGGCCCTGGGTCAGAAAGGTCAGAACAGGGAAGATGTAGGGCGCTGGCAGGGCAGTGCGAGCTTTCAGGAACCAGCTAGCTGTCGGTGAGGCCACGGCGGAGCGGGAGGCCTGGGCAACACAAGGAGCACAGGGCAGATGGGTGAGGATGGACAGGGTGTGGAGCAGAGGCTTCGGGTCAAAGAAGAGAATTTCGTGGTGGAGATCTTGAAAAAGGAATCATTGGAATTAACTGAGTTGGAGTCGAGTTGGTGTGAACTCGAGTTAAGCTTCAAACCTGAAGTCAGTGACTCAGCGGTTCCACTGGGAGGTGGGTTGCCAGGGGTGACAGGAAGTTGGGAGTGGCTCCTGATGAGTAGGGGGTTTCTTTGGGGGAGGTAATGATGGAATTAGATGGTGGTCATGACTACAGAACTTATATCTCAATTTTTTTGTTTGTTTTGGCCCTGCCACGAGGCTTGCAGAAGGATGTTAGTTCCCCAACCAGGGATCGAACCTGATTCCCAGCAGGGGAAGCACCAAGTCATAACCACTGGACTGCTGGGGAATTCCCTCTCAAATTTAAAAAGCGAGGGCGGGACAAGGGAACCAGCATGAATGTTGACATCCCAAAGGGCAGTTGCCAGGATGGGTGGGGAGGAGGACTGGGTCGCATGCTCAGTGGTCTCAGAAAAGCAGGATTTTTTTGGAGGGTCAGCAGTATGGGTTGGTCTATGTGCCAGGTTACCCCAGATGTGTTGGCCCGTCCTCAGGAAACCTGCAAATCGGGTTGAGCAGAGAGCTACCATCTAAGATGCAGCTCCGAATAATATGCACTGGTGAGGTGATGGGGGTGATGACGCGAAAGAGGAGGATAAAACCGAGCCCCAGAGACATTTTGAAAAGACGGATGGGCACTGGTCACCCAGCGTCCGGTTGCAGATCCCGCCTCCCTGGAACCCGGGAGGAACCCTCCCTTCTTACGTGCCCTCCTGGCTGAGGCCTCCTGGCCTCCACGGGTTTTGTCATCGCCCAGGGTCGCCGTTGGGGGTGGGGAGGCTTGTCAATTTCTGGGCTCAGATGTTGTCTCTCTCGGTTCCAGGTGGGACTGGTGTATATGTTCAACCTCATCGTGGGCACTGGTGCGCTCACCATGCCCAAGGCCTTTGCCACGGCCGGGTGGCTGGTCAGCCTGGTGCTACTGGTATTCCTGGGCTTCATGAGGTAAGAGGCTATCCCGGAGTGGGGGTGCTGGGGGTGAAACTGGGAGCGCCTCCCCAGAGAGCCCGAGCTCTCTCCATCTGTCTGAGAGAGACATCTGGTAGCAGGTTCGCAGAGCAAGGAGGGGAGGCCCAAAGGTCTCGGGGCAGTGGGGCTCACACTGATGGAGTAATTGCCCACCCCTGATCACTGGAAAGTTAAGACCTCCAGGGACTTCCCTTGTGGTCCAGTGTGGTTAAGACTCTAAGATTCCACTGCAGGGGGCACAGGTTCCATCCCTGGTCAGGGAACTAAGATCCCACATGCCCCGACATTAGTGGGGAGAAAAAAAACCAAGCGAAGAGTTAGGCTCCGGGATGTCTCCAGTGGGGCTGCCGTGTTTCTTCCCCGGCTGGCTTTCCTCCTCTGCCATGCCCATAATTTCTGAATGTGACCATCAACGTTCGTTCCCGGAAAAATTCCCACCCAGCCACAGAAGAGACGCTGACTAACGTTTCAGGTGATCCAGGCAGTCAGTTCGGAATTTAGAGTTTGTTTAAGATAGTTTCACCGCGCCGCGATAAGCAGGCAGTTGCGGTCATATTCAGGTGTTAATCTCACATGGCTCCGTGCCCAGCAGCAAACAAGAGGCCCAGCCTTCGGGGCGCCCGCCCCTTGGGCAGGTGTGCGTGGTTCGCTGGGATGCGGCAGCTGGTGCGTCTACAGGCCAATCCTCGGGACTCACAGGCAGGGGCCCCAGGCTAGAGAGGGATTTTGTTGTTCTTGTTTAGTTGCTAAACAGGAAGTCACTTGTTTAGTTGCTCTTTCACAACCCCATGGTCTGTAGCCCGCCAGGCTTCCCTGTCCATGGAATTTTCCAGGCAAGAATACTGGAAGAGCTTGCCATTTCCTCCTCCAGGGCATCTTCCTGACCCAGGGATTGAATCCACGTCTCCTGCATTGGCAAGCGCATTCTTTACCCCTGAGCCACCAGGGAAGCCCTGCAGAATTTAGTAGTTGAAGTCAGCTAAGACCTAGAGGAGGCTGCACGGGGTGGGAAAATGCCCGTTTTTCCCTTTCTTCCCATGTTTTTTCCCCTGGCGGGGGATTGTATCTAGTCTCAAGGTACTGTTGGCTCATTAAGTCCTGCAAGCTCTGTGGCCAGGGGCCCTAGACGTCCTTGTCCTCCTGTGACTGCGCTGTCCCCTTCAAAGGACCTTCAGCGTGGGCAGCCGCCTGAAAGGGAAGTGGTTATTGGGGGTGCCCAGGCAGGGGCTGCCACGCGCCCCCCTTGCAACCCATTTATATTCCAGCATGATCCATGAGCTGGCTTCGTGCAGCCACGAGAGCCTCTTTATGCCTTAATTAAGATGGATTTTAGTTTCACTTCCCAAAAGAAGAGGCAATGGGAAGCCCGTAAAATGGTCACTTAGGCAAGATAATGGGAAACCTTTCTAGGAGGAGCTGCAGTGGCTGGAGTTTTGGGGCTGGCTGCCCCGCCCCCACTGGGTGCGGGTTAACTCCTGCCCCCGCCCCCGGGCCCCACAGCCTGACTGCCAGCCTGCGGCAGGTGACTGCACCCGAGGTGGGCCAGGGGGCCGTGCGGCAAGCCCGCCTGCCCAGCAGCTTCAAGAAAGAGGGAGGTGAATGTTCCGCCCGCTTCGTTTCGGCGGGGGTGGGGTCACTCAGGTTTTAGCAGCAGGAACCCAGCCCTGCCCCCGACCGTCTGCTCACGGAGCATTCCGGCTGTCACCCCGTCTCTCCAGTTTCCTTAAGAAAAGTAGTCTCACTTCTCACAAAGGTCTGATGCCACCTCCCAGTCTCCGTTTTCATTCAGGCCAGATTATTAGACTATTAAAATATTAACATATTTTCACCTGTTAATATGTTTTAACTTATTAATTAAATATGTTGATTTATTGCAGTCTTTTTTCATTTATTTTAATAGCTAACATTAACATAATACTAATTATTAAATATTATTAAAAATAATAATTATTTTAATATTAGCCAGATTATTAGGAAAGTGAAAGTACCCCCACCCCACCCCCCACAAAGTAAAAAGGGGAGGGTGATTCCAGAGCCAAGCATCCTTTTCAGTTATCCACACCCGCGCTCTGTTCATCAGCATGTGTAACGGGGTCAACGGCTTGCCCAGCGAGGAGAAGTGAGAGCTGCCCGCTGCCCTTCCCTGAAGCCTCGGGCAGCCCCCTTGTGGACCAGCCTCCTCCTCCCAGTGTAGAGCCTCACCTGCTGTCTCTCTGCCCCCCTCTCTCCCACCTCTGCCCCTAACAGGCCCCTCCTGGGGTGCCGAACCACCTTGCCCCCAAGTCACCTCTCCCCCAGGGTCACCCTCTCTCCTTCCTACCAGCTTGGTTCACACCCTGGTCTCCTGTGTGCTGAAAACCCGTCCTAAATATAAACAGACGTCAGGGCGAGCCCGCGAGGCACCGTGGAGGCACACGTGCCTTCTTACGGGGTCAGACCCACCCCGGGACGTGCGGCTCCGTCCTCCGCAGAGAGAATGCTTTGGGCTGGCGGCTTGGTCAGGTCCGGTTTCAGCGGCTTTTCCTTTTATTCTGTACCTCCTCCCTGCCTTTGGCGATTCACCCGTGGCCTTTCCCTGTAGCTTTGTGACGACGACCTTTGTGGTGGAGGCCATGGGGGCGGCCAACGCTCAGCTCCGCTGGAAGAGGATGGAAGCCCGCCAGGTGTGTGCGCCGCCCTGGGCTCGGCTGTCCCCCGGGGCTGCCGAGTGCAGAGAGTGGGCCGTCCTCTCCCTGCTCCCCGCTCCTGACCAAGGGCAGCTGTGGCTCAGAAAAGTTAAAGAAAGTTACTCAATCAGTCATGTCCAACTCTGCGACCCCATGGACTATAGCCCACCAGGCTCCTCTGTCCATGGGATTCTCCAGACAGGAATTCTGGAGTGGGTTGCCATTTCCTCCTCCAGAACCTGGGCTCCCTCTGGACCCTAGCGAGGAGCTGAAGTTCGCAGCCATGTCAGCTTCCAGAATATGCACAGCCTCTGCTGTGGCTCCCTCCTCCCCTCATGCTCTCCGAGCATCCCCTCCTTGCTCCCTCCTCCCCAGTGCTCTCCCATCATCCCTCCTTGCTCCCTCCTCCCCAGTGCTCTCCGAGCATCCCCTCCTTGCTCCCTCCTCCCCAGTGCTCTCCGAGCATCCCCTGCTTGCTCCCTCCTCCCCAGTGCTCTCCTATCATCCTCTCCTTGCTCCCTCCTCCCCAGTGCTCTCCGAGCATCCCCTCCTTGCTCCCTCCTCCCCAGTGCTCTCCGAGCATCCCCTCCTTGCTCCCTCCTCCCCAGTGCTCTCCCATCATCCCCTCCTTGCTCCCTCCTCCCCAGTGCTCTCCGAGCATCCCCTCCTTGCTCCCTCCTTCCCAGTGCTCTCCCATCATCCCCTCCTTGCTCCCTCCTCCCCAGTGCTCTCCGAGCATCCCCTCCTTGCTCCCTCCTCCCCAGTGCTCTCCGAGCATCCCCTCCTTGCTCCCTCCTCCCCAGTGCTCTCCCATCATCCCCTCCTTGCTCCCTCCTTCCCAGTGCTCTCCCATCATCCCCTCCTTGCTCCCTCCTCCCCAGTGCTCTCCGAGCATCCCCTCCTTGCTCCCTCCTCCCCAGTGCTCTCCGAGCATCCCCTCCTTGCTCCCTCCTCCCCAGTGCTCTCCCATCATCCTCTCCTTGCTCCCTCCTCCCCAGTGCTCTCCGAGCATCCCCTCCTTGCTCCCTCCTCCCCAGTGCTCTCTGAGCATCCCCTCCTTGCTCCCTCCTCCCCAGTGCTCTCCGAGCATCCCCTCCTTGCTCCCTCCTCCCCACTGCTCTCCCATCATCCCCTCCTTGCTCCCTCCTCCCCAGTGCTCTCCGAGCATCCCCTCCTTGCTCCCTCCTCCCCAGTGCTCTCCCATCATCCCTCCTTGCTCCCTCTTCCCCAGTGCTCTCCCATCATCCCTCCTTGCTCCCTCCTTCCCAGTGCTCTCCCATCATCCCCTCCTTGCTCCCTCCTTCCCAGTGCTCTCCCATCATCCCTCCTTGCTCCCTCCTCCCCAGTGCTCTCCCATCATCCCTCCTTGCTCCCTCCTCCCCAGTGCTCTCCCATCATCCCTCCTTGCTCCCTCCTCCCCAGTGCTCTCCCATCATCCCCTCCTTGCTCCCTCTTCCCCAGTGCTCTCCCATCACCCCCTCCTTGCTCCCTCCTCCCCAGTGCTCTCCCATCATCCCCTCCTTGCTCCCTCCTCCCCAGTGCTCTCCCATCATCCCTCCTTGCTCCCTCCTCCCCAGTGCTCTCCCATCATCCCCTCCTTGCTCCCTCCTCCCCAGTGCTCTCCGAGCATCCCCTCCTTGCTCCCTCCTCCCCAGTGCTCTCCCATCATCCCTCCTTGCTCCCTCCTCCCCAGTGCTCTCCCATCATCCCCTCCTTGCTCCCTCCTCCCCAGTGCTCTCCGAGCATCCCCTCCTTGCTCCCTCCTCCCCAGTGCTCTCCCATCATCCCTCCTTGCTCCCTCCTCCCCAGTGCTCTCCCATCATCCCCTCCTTGCTCCCTCCTCCCCAGTGCTCTCCGAGCATCCCCTCCTTGCTCCCTCCTCCCCAGTGCTCTCCCATCATCCCTCCTTGCTCCCTCCTCCCCAGTGCTCTCCCATCACCCCCTCCTTGCTCCCTCCTCCCCAGTGCTCTCCCATCATCCCTCCTTGCTCCCTCCTCCCCAGTGCTCTCCCATCATCCCCTCCTTGCTCCCTCCTCCCCAGTGCTCTCCCATCATCCCTCCTTGCTCCCTCCTCCCCAGTGCTCTCCCATCATCCCCTCCTTGCTCCCTCCTCCCCAGTGCTCTCCCATCATCCCTCCTTGCTCCCTCCTCCCCAGTGCTCTCCCATCATCCCTCCTTGCTCCCTCCTCCCCAGTGCTCTCCCATCATCCTCTCCTTGCTCCCTCCTCCCCAGTGCTCTCCCATCACCCCCTCCTTGCTCCCTCCTCCCCAGTGCTCTCCCATCACCCCCTCCTTGCTCCCTCCTCCCCAGTGCTCTCCCATCATCCCTCCTTGCTCCCTCCTCCCCAGTGCTCTCCGAGCATCCCCTCCTTGCTCCCTCCTCCCCAGTGCTCTCCCATCATCCTCTCCTTGCTCCCTCCTCCCCAGTGCTCTCCGAGCATCCCCTCCTTGCTCCCTCCTCCCCAGTGCTCTCCGATCATCCCCTCCTTGCTCCCTCCTCCCCACTGCTCTCCCATCATCCCCTCCTTGCTCCCTCCTCCCCAGTGCTCTCCGAGCATCCCCTCCTTGCTCCCTCCTCCCCAGTGCTCTCCCATCATCCCTCCTTGCTCCCTCCTCCCCAGTGCTCTCCCATCATCCCTCCTTGCTCCCTCCTTCCCAGTGCTCTCCCATCATCCCCTCCTTGCTCCCTCCTCCCCAGTGCTCTCCCATCATCCCTCCTTGCTCCCTCCTCCCCAGTGCTCTCCCATCATCCCTCCTTGCTCCCTCCTCCCCAGTGCTCTCCCATCATCCCTCCTTGCTCCCTCCTCCCCAGTGCTCTCCCATCATCCCCTCCTTGCTCCCTCTTCCCCAGTGCTCTCCCATCACCCCCTCCTTGCTCCCTCCTCCCCAGTGCTCTCCCATCATCCCCTCCTTGCTCCCTCCTCCCCAGTGCTCTCCCATCATCCCTCCTTGCTCCCTCCTCCCCAGTGCTCTCCCATCATCCCCTCCTTGCTCCCTCCTCCCCAGTGCTCTCCGAGCATCCCCTCCTTGCTCCCTCCTCCCCAGTGCTCTCCCATCACCCCCTCCTTGCTCCCTCCTCCCCAGTGCTCTCCCATCATCCCCTCCTTGCTCCCTCCTCCCCAGTGCTCTCCCATCACCCCCTCCTTGCTCCCTCCTCCCCAGTGCTCTCCCATCATCCCTCCTTGCTCCCTCCTCCCCAGTGCTCTCCCATCATCCCCTCCTTGCTCCCTCCTCCCCAGTGCTCTCCCATCACCCCCTCCTTGCTCCCTCCTCCCCAGTGCTCTCCCATCATCCCTCCTTGCTCCCTCCTCCCCAGTGCTCTCCCATCATCCCCTCCTTGCTCCCTCCTCCCCAGTGCTCTCCCATCATCCCCTCCTTGCTCCCTCTTCCCCAGTGCTCTCCCATCATCCCTCCTTGCTCCCTCCTCCCCAGTGCTCTCCCATCATCCCCTCCTTGCTCCCTCCTCCCCAGTGCTCTCCCATCATCCCCTCCTTGCTCCCTCTTCCCCAGTGCTCTCCCATCATCCCCTCCTTGCTCCCTCCTCCCGAGTGCTCTCCCATCATCCTCTCCTTGCTCCCTCCTCCCCAGTGCTCTCCCATCATCCCCTCCTTGCTCCCTCCTCCCCAGTGCTCTCCCATCATCCTCTCCTTGCTCCCTCCTCCCCAGTGCTCTCCCATCATCCCCTGCTTGCTCCCTCCTCCCCAGTGCTCTCCTATCATCCTCTCCTTGCTCCCTCCTCCCCAGTGCTCTCCGAGCATCCCCTCCTTGCTCCCTCCTCCCCAGTGCTCTCCGAGCATCCCCTCCTTGCTCCCTCCTCCCCAGTGCTCTCCCATCATCCCCTCCTTGCTCCCTCCTCCCCAGTGCTCTCCCATCACCCCCTCCTTGCTCCCTCCTCCCCAGTGCTCTCCCATCATCCCTCCTTGCTCCCTCCTCCCCAGTGCTCTCCGAGCATCCCCTCCTTGCTCCCTCCTCCCCAGTGCTCTCCCATCATCCCCTCCTTGCTCCCTCCTCCCCAGTGCTCTCCGAGCATCCCCTCCTTGCTCCCTCCTCCCCAGTGCTCTCCCATCATCCTCTCCTTGCTCCCTCCTCCCCAGTGCTCTCCGAGCATCCCCTCCTTGCTCCCTCCTCCCCAGTGCTCTCCGAGCATCCCCTCCTTGCTCCCTCCTCCCCACTGCTCTCCCATCATCCCCTCCTTGCTCCCTCCTCCCCAGTGCTCTCCGAGCATCCCCTCCTTGCTCCCTCCTCCCCAGTGCTCTCCCATCATCCCTCCTTGCTCCCTCCTCCCCAGTGCTCTCCCATCATCCCTCCTTGCTCCCTCTTCCCCAGTGCTCTCCCATCATCCCCTCCTTGCTCCCTCTTCCCCAGTGCTCTCCGAGCATCCCCTCCTTGCTCCCTCCTCCCCAGTGCTCTCCCATCATCCCCTCCCTGCTCCCTCCTCCCCAGTGCTCTCCCATCATCCCCTCCTTGCTCCCTCCTCCCTCTGACCTGAGAACCTTCACCCCAGGCCGCATGCTGCAGCCTCTCCCTCAGCGCCTCTGACCCCCGATGGGACAGCCCGGAAGTGTGGGAAGCTCCCTGCTCAGACGCCTTCTAGGAGGAGAGGACAGAGCGAGCATGCTCTCCCTTCGGTGTCCCCGCTTCTCTCCTGTCTTCCTCACCCTCCGCATCCCGCCCCTCCCAGGACGAGGAAGACGACTCCTCCTCCTCCTCGGCCTCCGACAGCGACGTTCCCGCCCAGGACAGCCACGAGCGGGCGGAGAAGCGGCCCATCCTGTCTGTGCGTAAGTCCTGGGGTTCCGGGCTGGCCCGCGCTTCCCTCTGGTCCACGGGCTTCCGCTTCCTCATGGAGAGGGCTCAGGGTGGGTCTGGGGTTCTCCCTGCAGAGACCCTCAGAGCACTTCCCACCTGAGGGCTGATCCTGGGAAGGCAGCAGGGAACGTAGAGCAGAGCGCCGCCCTGGAGCCCTGGGCCGGGCTCCCCGCTGCTGACTCTGCCGCCAACTGCTGTCAGCGGCCTGGGGAGGGCCCTTGACCTCGGCCCCTGGAAGCCCGAGTCAGTGTCGGCCTCTGACTTCCCTCCTTCCTGTCCCACCGGACAGACACACACCCAGACCCCAGCTGAGCCGGGGAGGCACTCCTGCCGTCCCTCTCACCCCACAGTGAGCATCCCTGGGTCCCTTTCTATAGACATTTTCTCTTTTCCTTTATCTATTTATTTTCTTTGGCCGCACTTCAAGGCACATGGGATCTTCGATGCCCGACCAGGGATCTAACCCCTGACCCCTGCGATGGAAACTCAGAGTCCTGACTACCAGGGAGCCTCCTCTGTGGGTGTTTTAAAAAACGTTTCAAGCAGGAAACACAAGGAAAAGTTTTCTTAAGAGTTTGAGCCCCTTGGGACCTCTTTATTCTGGAGGATTCCTTTATTCTGGAGGATTCCGTGAGCCCAGCACCCCTCCTGGGAGCTTGTCCTCGTGGGAAAAAATAACACCCTTTCTTTCCTCCTGGCTCCACAGAGAGACGCGGATCAAACCTTTTCGAGATCACAGACCGGGTGGAGATGGGGCAGATGGCCTCCATGTTCTTCAATAAAGGTGGGGGTGCTTTCTCCGCATGGGAAGCGGGCGGGGGAAGCTGGTGCCTTCCTGCGGGCCAGGGCACCCGGGTCGGGGGTTCTACCTCCCCTGGGGATGGGGCAGGTGGGAGGGAGGAACCGATTCTTGGCCTGAGAAGCCACCTTGCTGGCTTCAAAGTGTTCTGAACCCCTTCAAAGTGTTCTCTTGGTTCCCTCCCTGTTCAGTGCATCGGGAATAAAGAAGCAGCTAGTGGTAAAGGATCCGCCTACCAATGCAGGAAACATGGGTTCAATCCCTGGGTTGGGAAGATCCCCGGGAGAAGGAAATGGCAACCCACTCCAGTATTCTTGCCTGGAGGATCCCACGGACAGAGGAGCCTGGTGGGCTACAGTCCATGGGGTCGCAAAGAGTCAGACACTAAAAAACAACAACTTAGCAACTATGGGGGCTTCCCTTGTGGATCAGCTGGTAAAGAATCTGCCTGCAATGCAGGAGAACCCTGGTTCAATTCCTGGGTCAGGAAGATCCCCTGGAGAAGGGGTAGGCTACCCACTCCAGTATTCTTGGATTTCTCTTATGACTCAGCTGGTAAAGAATCCGCCTGCAATACAGGAGACCTGGGCTTGATTCCTGGGTTGGGAAGATCCCCTGGAGAAGGGGTAGGCTACCCACTCCAGTATTCTGGCCTGGAGAATCCTATACAGTCCATGGGGTCACAAAGAGTCAGACACGACTGAGCGACTTTCACTTTCACTACCAACCATGGCTCATGGAGGTTGAGTCCCAAGCAGCTTTCCAGTGGAGGCGGTTGGTGGTCCTGTGCCTCTTTCTTGATTGCTTCTGCCTTGTCTCTTTTCTCCTGGGCTGTTGTGTCTAGGACGGCAGAGCACCCCCACCCTGTAGTGACGGTGGGTGGTGTGTGGCTGTGCGTGGGGAGGGTGTCTTCACAGTGGCCAGCAGAGGGTGCCAGGAGCCCGTGCTCGGGCCGCCGTCTGGACTCTGCAGGGCTGATCGTGACCTCCGGCGTGCTCCACCTGCTGCCTGGTGGGATCACAAGGACAGCGGCCAGCTCAGATGCTGCCGTCTGTGTCGGTTGTTCCGGCAACAACATCTTAGGCCTCCATCCCAAATCTTGTTCTTCGGGGAGGTGATCTGTTAAAGGGTTTAGTCTTGGTAATGCCTGAACCTTCACCGAGAGTCGGACACATCTCAGGAAATGCTTGACCTTGCAGTTACCTTGGGAGATTTTTCTGCCCCTTCGTCCAAGCCCCCTGTTTGCAGACGGGAGCATCTCCACTGGCTCTTCCCGGTCTTGAATGTGGCTGTGTTGATCTGGAGCCGAGGCTGGGACTGTGGAAACTAGAATCTTCTTGGCTGTTTCTTGGGACATCAAGCATCCACTTATCACCATGGTGGGATGCGACAGGAGATGGTGATTGAGGTCACCCCCAGAGCCTGCCTCCGCCCTCCCCACTGGACCAGCCTCAGCGAGAACTCTCAGAACTCACAAGAATGAGATGGGCTGCGTCTGGGTCCTCTGTGCTCTTCTTTCATCCTGTTTCTCTCTCTGCCCGTCTTGTTATAAGAGACTGCTGCTGCACAATCTCCCGCCAAATGCAGGCTTCTGAGACAGAATGCGCATCGAAGCCAGGGCACACACCTCTTAAACCTCCTCCCCAATCTTCACGTTTTACAGTCCGCTCTGATCTCTTTAAGAAATCTATGAACTTGCAGTTTCGGGTTTTTTTTTATATCGTTGTGTATGTGAGCCCCGCAGTCTAGACGTCTAGGTTACCTGAAACTGATAGAAAATAAACATACTCGTTCGAGAGCAGCTCAGACATAGAGGACACCCTCCCCTCGTCTGCTCCAGGGCTTCTCAAGCTCGGCCCTGTTGCGTGTGGCCGGACCCTTCCTCACTGTGCGGCCTGCCCTGCGTGTTGTAGGATGTTGAGTAGCACCCTTGACTTGCCCCTACTAGTGGTCAGTAGCACTTGCCCAGTCCTGACAATCAAAAATGTCCTCAGACTTTGCCAAATGTCCCCAGCAGGAGGTCCCCGCCCCCAAACTGGAACCACTGCTCAACTCAATCCTAAGTCACCGATCATCCCCGTTACCTTTGGACGGGCTGCCAGCCTCCACACAAGGCTCCCTGGGGGCCCAGACTCAGTCCTGTAATTAGAAATGCCAGGCCTGGTCACCGCTGTCCTCAAGGAAGTGCATTGATCCTCCCACTTTGTGTCTCGTAATGAAATTTATTGATCAGGGAGGGCCAGTGGCAGTTTATAAACAGCCGACACGAGTGCTCTGCGGGTGGAGGAAAGACTGGGAGTGGGGAGGGACGGTGACCCCTGCCCCCACAGGAGGTGACGGGGAGCTGGATTCACAGCCCGGGGGTGAGAAGTGGTGACCGTCCCCCGCCCCCAGGGGCCCCCGAGCTTAGCCATCGGCACTCTCTGAAGCCCTCCAGGGTTCTTCCAAGAACAGTGTCTTCTGAGTCTTTTCCCCTTAGACTCCTAGGAACAGAGCCAATCTCAAATAGCCCAGGAGGAACTTATCCCTGACTCCCCCACCACCACCACCATCGGGGACCCGGAGGCTCTTTGGAGCCACCAGGATTAGAAGGGAACTGTCACTTCATTTTTCTTTCTGTTCTTGGCGACACCAGCAGCTTGAGATCAGTGACACCGAAAACAAGCCACCAGTTTGAACAGGAGTTTGAGGCTGGCTGTCTGGGGCCATGACCCTGAGGTCGTAGGGCCCAGATGCTTTTTTAAGGCACTTTTACACCAGGTCTTTATAGCCGGAATCACGTGTGGAATGTAGGCAGGCTGAATTCTTTTCACTGGACAGGATTAGAGACAGTCGGACTTGCCAGGGTTGGGAAACGAGGCTGGCAGGATTAAGACCAGAGTGGAGCTCCTGGGTCCTAGTCCAGGCCCCTCCTTGGGGGAAAGGGACCAAGGTTGGCCTCTGCAGGGGGACCTTCCTCATCAGCATCCTCCCCGCGGGTGATTCTGGTAAAGAAGGAAAGTGAGCCGCCCCCTGCCCCCAGCCGACCGGGCTAGCCTCGCCCTTGGGGGCTTGGTGATGGGCCACATTCAGAATGAGACACTCGGTCTTTGGAAATCCAGGGCTTTTTACCCTCTTGTTTTCAGCTTCCAGGCTTCCCTGGTGGCTCAGCTGGTAAAGAACCTGCAGTGCGGGAGCCCTGGTTTCGAGCCCTGGGTTGGGAAGATCCCCTGGAGAAAGGAAAGGCTACCCACTCCAGTATTCCAGCCTGGAGAATTCCATTGACTGTATAGTCCATGGGGTCGCAGAGTCGGACACAACTGAGCGACTTTCAGCTTCTGGAGCTGGGCTGCCCCCTGCTATCTTCTTGCTCTTCAGTCCCTCAGTCTTCTGTCTTGGAACCCTGCATGTGGCTGCAAAGACGCCCCCCTCACCAGCCCTGGGGTTCAGGCCCCTGCCTCGGGCTATCCCCCCTCCTTTCCGCCCGCCCTCACCGGGCAGCCGGGCCCAAGCACAGACGCCTCCGGATCCTCTGCGGCCAGTCCGTGCCCCAAGCTCACTCTGCACCCGGTCTGGGTTCAGAACCTCTCTGATCCAGCCTGGCCCAGCCCCCGTCTCAGGTGACAGTCTCCCGCCAGCATCACGGTGTAGGCAGCCGGATTGAGAGGCAGGGCTCGAGAGGCAGGGCTCGGGGGAGGGCTTCCCCGCTCCGCTCAGAGAGCGAGCCGCCGTCGTGAGAAAGCAGGCAGGCGGCTGGCTCCCTGACCGACGGCTCTGTTGCTTCCAGTGGGGGTCAACCTGTTCTACTTCTGCATCATCGTCTACCTGTACGGGGACCTGGCCATCTACGCCGCAGCCGTGCCCTTCTCCCTCATGCAGGTGACCTGGTGAGTGTCCCCGCCCCCGCCCCCGCCAGCTGCAGCCAGACAGGCCCCTTCGGGCGGTCGGGACAGTGTGTTCTCAGGGTGGAAGCCTGACACTGAGCACCTCCATCAGTGTCCCCAGCGGGTCTGTGTCCGAGGTCCTTCTCTGCACGTGCCGCGGCCAGCTGTGCGTCCTGGCCTGCGGAGACACGTTCCTCACCACTGTCCCTTCCCTGCCCCGTTGGGAAGGGGACCGGGGTTCCCACCAGCGGCTCCTGAGTGGCCGAGAAACGGTGCAGCGGGATTAGGGGACAGTGCCTGCCCCCAGAGCCGGGAAAGCCTGCAGAGTCAGACCGTGGGACCCGGAGCCACAGTGCAGGGGTGGCGTGGAGAATCGGCGACTGCCCACAGTTGACAGAGGCAGGTTCTGTCGGCTTCCAGCCAAGCGGGGAGGCCCACACTGAGCCACCGTTCTCTTCGTCAGCAGCGCCCTAGGCAACGACTCGTGCGGCGTGGAGGCCGACACCAAGTACAACGACACGGACCCGTGCTGGGGGCCCCTGCGCCGCATGGACGCCTACCGCATCTACCTGGTGAGTGGCCGGCCGGAGGGACCAGGCCTGTGAGCCACCTCCACTCGGCTGGAGCTCTCCCCAGAGAGGAGCGTCAATACAGCTCCACGCCCTGGCTGGTTCCGGGGGCCTCGGTCCTGGTCAGAAGGTAGATCATGTCACTACAGCGCCAGCCACACGGTATCCAGGCCACCAGGCCTCTGTCGTATGTGGTCTGGAGTTGGCATTCAGGTCGGTGTCAGCTCCAGGGCGATGAACTCTCATAAACTTAGCTCAGAGTTTCAGGGCACGCTTAGCAAAGCCCCGTTAAGAGGCCCCGGGCTGGTTTTCTGGAAGCTTTTCTTGTTTTGACCTTCTCCCTGCCCAACCCACGAGTGTGTGAGTGGTTCCCGGGGTTCCTGGCTGGGCGGGTGGGACTGAGCTGTCTCACGGAGACGCTGATTGCGGGCAGCTCCCCACACGAGGAGGGATCGGCCCCGCTCGCCCTCCATCTCCCCTGCTCCCTGCAGACACAGGAAGATGAATCTCCGGGCTCCGTGCCGGTGTGGAGAGGTTGGGGGTTGGAGGGGGGAATGGAAGCTGAGGGACGCGCCCTGTGTGTCTCGGGGAATAAATCAGAGGCCGTGTCTGTCTCTGCCTGGTTTGCAGGCAGGACTCAGAAATGGCTCCCTCTTGCATGTGCAGCGTCTGTTAAGACGCTCCGATTCCTCTTGGTGCTTCTCAGCCCTGACACAGACGTAGGGGCATTAGGTGACACAGCCTGACGCGTGGCCACCTAGCTGAGGGGGAGCAGAGCCGTGAGAGAGGCAGGGAGCCGGCCTCTTAATTGTCCGCATCCTGCCAGCGGTTCCGCAGCCCCGCGGCGGCTGTGCTGCTCAGCTCTGAATTGGGTTAACCCCCAGGACTGGTTCTGCCTTCCCAGCCCCACCCTCCAGGCCTTCCCCCAGGGGAGTCCTGTGGCCCAGCCCCGGGAGACACGCGTTTTCCTCTCTGTTTCTGGAACAGTCCCACGGTCAGCTCCAGCCAGGAGTCTGTCTTCTCGGAGAACTGTATCTCACCCGAGGTCCAGCGGGACTTGCGTGACAGGTTTTCCCAGCACCCTCCGCCCCCCCCGCCATACCCCAGCCTTGGGGGCAGGCAGAGGACTCCGCAGGGCCCCCAGAAGACTGGAGGCCCATTAGCCTCTTAGCATCTCAACAAATCGTGATTGATAGAATTAGCAAAAGCGTTGGTGAGTGTGAGGACCTGTCTGGATCTCTGATCCACATAGCAGAAGGAGGAAGTTGAGGAAAGGGTCCGAGAGGCTCAGCACAGACCTGGGGGCAGGTCCAAGCGGGGGAGCCCCTCGGGTGGGTCCTTCCCCGGTGGGGCTGCTGGAGGCTGTGCAGGGTCTGTCCTTCACGTCCCCCCGCCCATCCGCAAAACAGACGTGGAGCGCTGGGAGTGCCGGCTGCTGCCACAGGCCCGGTGAATTATTTAGCACCATTATTATTGCCTTATTAAATTGTTCCTCCTCTTAGTCCTGTAAACCTTCCACATGATGGAAGCCTCCCTCCCTGAATCTCAATAACTCTCTGGGCGAACAGAAGGAACCCTTTAGGAAAGCAGACAGGCATTAATTACTGCCTTCATCTCCCAGATATTACACTTATAACTCATGAAGCTAATTGCCACCAGGCCCCCACAATCCACACAACACAGGAGGGGGGGTGAGGCCGAGCGGAACCAGAGCCCTTCCCCTGCGGGGTGTTGACACCCTCCCACCTTCTCCCGGCCGCCGCTGGGGGCTTCTGTTCGCTCAGGTTTTCAGTTCAGACTCGCTCTTCTGCCTGGTTTGGAGAAACTCCAAGCAGGTGGACTTCGGCGCCGTCTCAGAAGTTATTCTACAACTTCGCGTGTGGCTGCTGGGGCCCACAGCCTCCGCAGCGCCAAGCCTCCTGACCCTGAATACTGGGGGCTCGTCCGCATGCCGGCCACCCGCTATTAGCGCGTCAGGAGCGGCCCAGTAACTGAAGGAGGGGGTCGGCTGACGTGGGCTTCCTTCCTCGGGCCCGGGCACTCTGTGCTAACGGTGCCTTCCCTCCCAAGTCTGGCCTGAGGGGCTCACCCCTGTGTCCTTGTTCCATCAGGGGGGCCTTTAGATCGTAGGAGATGAGGGGCATCCTTTTCCCTCACCTCCCCCCCCCCAACCACCCACTGCCACAGTCATTCCTGTTTGGAAATTGTCCCTCCAGGCTAGCGATTCCCATCACAGTTCTTTCTTTTTTTAAAAAATATTTATTTATTTGGATGCGCCCGGTCTCGGTTGCAGTGTGTGGGTTCTTTTTAGTGACAGCATGTGAACTCTTAGTTGCGGCAGGGGGGATCTAGTTCCCTGACCAGGGATCAAACCCAGGCCGCCTGCACTGGAAGCGCGGAGTCTTAGCCATTGGACCACCAGGGAAGGCTCCCCACCCCCACCCCCATGGCAATGCTTTCTACCGGCTGTTTTGCTGCCACGTTGGGCAAGGCAGCAGGTGGGTTTCAGGTCCCTCTCCCACTGCAGACTCAGTCACTTCTTTGTCTCAGGTAAGCCATGCGCCTGCCCAGCCTGCCTGTTTCAAAGGATCTCTGACAGCCACTTCTTGTCTTTTCCAGGCCAGCATATTCTGGCTTCTTCTACATTACAATTTAGCTTTTAGAAAGTCCTTGGAAATAGCCTGTTCTGTGTCTCCGCGGGAATGCTGCTGAAACGGGCACACGGGACGAGAACACGTAGGATGTTAACTGCCTTCGGAGGCGCCCGTGTATAGCACCTTGAGTGCTTGTAAGAAGGGAGCTTCCTCTGCCCGCAGCCACCAGTCGCCTCCCCGAAGCCCTTGACCTTAACGAACGGAAAATTCCTCCTCCCCTCCCGCGGCCCGCGAGCTCCATCCACATCCTGTGACTCCAGTGCAGCTGATCTGAGTCAGTGTCTCCGTCTCCTCCCTCCTTGGAGTAGCCACAGGGCCCTGCAAAGTTGGGGGTGGTCCCGCGAGTCACGTGTGCCCCCCGGGCATCCCAGCAAGATGCCACAGCGGGGGCCAGCGGTGACCTGGGCCCCAGCCGGAGGGGCCACGCGAGTTCACATCCAGATCTGATCCTCAGATCCCCGCCCCATCCCCATTCCCACCACCGCACCCCACCCCGCTCCTCTGAAGGATCAAATGGGAAAGTGTTGATGCCCCAGCGCTTTCAAACCCGCAACCTTGCCTGCAGGCTGGGGAGCATCCTGGGATTCTTTCTGCTCAGCGTCTCCGACTTGGGTAGGAAACAAAGTCGGGATTTAGCATTTCATTCTCCTCCAAGGTGAGGAGGAGTCAGGGGCCACTGGTGAATGGCAGGGTCGTATGGAAATGAGTCCCGTCCAGGAATCAGACTGTCCCGAGCGTCTTGGAAGTGGGACATGTGTGGCTTTTCCCCTCGAGTCAAGGGCACTGCCCAGCTGTCTTGTCCTTGTTCCCACGGTCCCCTCCAGTCTCACAGGCACCCGCGCCCCAGGCCCCGTCGGCGTCACCTCCCCGAGAGCGTCAGAGGGCAGTTCTGGGGGGCAGTGGGACTCCTCAAGCGCTGAGAGCTCGTCGCCGGCGGCAGGAGCGACCTCCACCGCTCGCAGGTGGATCGATGCCGCTGGGGTGCCGGCCGCCCAGCAGGCCAGTCCGGGCAGAACTGGGCACACAGATGGCAGAGCGGAGCTCATCCTGGCCGGAGACCCGGCCGCACACTGGTAGCATCAGGCGGGGGGCCCCTCGCGGGCCGCTTTGGACCAGGACAAGGTCATCCTGGCTTGCCTTGAACACAGGAGCAGGGAGATCCGCCTCCAGGACCCAGGTGACCCGGGAGGGTGGTGCAGCCACCCTCTGCCAGACAGAGGGGCCTCCCTCGCCGGACACCACTTGAGGAAGCAGGGCGCATGTTGGGCTCCGCAGCGGTGGGGGTTCTGCCTGCTGTATTCGTCCTGAAGGAGCAGGTCGGTCTGATTAGGGCTCAGGTCAGCGCTGAAGGTCCTTCTGGGCCTTCTCCAGGAGCCCTGGTTTCGTCTTCGCTGGCAGGAGGTTGTGTTTTCTGATCCACCTTGTCTCAGGCTTAGGTGATACCACTTGCCTCTACCACCGGCCACAATTAAAACAGCACGTAATCCCCTTTTTAAAACCTCGCGGTCTCTTCCTAGAACAGTACCAGTGAAGGGAAAAACATCCTACTTGTTGGGGGTAGAGAACGGAGTGACATCCCCGCCTGGAGCGCCTGGCCGAGCCCTGCCGGGTCCTTCCTGCTGCGTGGTTCTCGGGGGTGTAGCGTGTTACCAGTTATTTCCTCGTTTCCTGTCTGGCCCTCCCAGCCAGGCAGGAAAGTCCATGGCATCATCCCATTTCACAGCAGAGAAAGCTGAGACTCGGAGACCGTGGCTTCCCTGGGGTCCTTGAGCTGAGGCAGAGATGAGGGTGCAGACACAAGGGGACCCGCTGGCCAGTCCTGGAGCCTAATGTTTGCAGAGGTCGGGGCAGGGCTGCCCAGGACGGGGCCTGCTGGGTGATCCGTGTAGGCACGTCCCGCCGTCCACCTGACAGACCCGCCATCTTCCTGCCGCCCCTCGGTCCTCGGTGGCCAAGAGGGCTTCTCCCGTTCGCTCGAATAGCTGGAGCTCCGCGCGTCTGCCCAAGGACATCTCCCCTCACTGCCATGGCCTCTCTCTCTCTGTATTTCAGCAGCAGCCCCAGTGCCCTGGGGCTGTGGCATCTGCTAATAAGTGGGTCACTGCTGCCATCGCTTGCGTATTTATTCTCACCAGTTCTGGGGCAGGAGGTGGCCTAGAGGCCTCCAGGACCAGGGGGGAGGGAAAGTCAGTGTGAAGTAACGAGTTCCAGTGGCAGCGGTGACTTCATGGGACCTGGGGGCTCTCGGGGACCATCCCAGAAGACCAGCCTGCACCCCCAAGAGCACAACTCCAACAGGAGACAGTGTGAGCGCTGTACCCGTATTTGCACAGGGTGGGGGACCCGGAA